CCCCAGCAGGACATGAATTGCTGAGGAATACTGTATAATCCAAAACTCTCATATTCCTATGCTAACAGTTTCTGTCACACACTCCCTTCCCAATTGTGTTTATTGGTATTGATGATGAGGCTGGGGCTATATCTACGACTGCTTGGGTACCATTCCTGACTCTCTGCTCAGAAGTGACCTCTGGCCATGCTCAGGGAACCATATATGGGGACTGGGACTGAATCAATTTGGCCGAATGCAAGGCAAGAACTTTAGCTCACTTACTGGTATTTCCCTATTATATTTGTATGCAATAAAACTTTATACATCACAACTTCAAGTACCTTCTAACTGATAATGCACTATTGTTTCAAATATCTTACAATTTTTTAAAGGACTGTAGAGATAGGACAAGAGGTAAGGCTTGGCTGCATGCCACTGACCACAGGCCTCATATGGTTCCCAACTACTATCAGAGGTCACTCCTGAACACAGAGCCAGGACTACTCTCTTAGCACTGCTGGCTATGGCTCCCAAACAAAAACAAATGTAAAATAAATATAAAAAAGTACAAATATATATATATATATATATATCACTGTCCTGTATCGCTGTCCTCCCATTGTTCATCGATTTGCTCGAGCGGGCCCAGTAACGTCTCCATTGGAGACTTTGTTATTGCTGTGTTTGGCATATCGAATACACCACGGGTAGCTTGCCAGGCTCTGCCGTGCGGGCGAGATACTCTCGGTAGCTTGCCAGGCTCTCAGAGAGGGGCGGAGGAATCGAACTCGGGTCAACCATGTTGGCTGCGTGCAAGGCAAACACCCTACCACTGTGCTATCGCTCCAGCTAATATATATATATATATATATATATATATATATATATATATTTTTTTTTTTTTTTTTTAAGTAGCGATGTCTTACCAGTCCCGGTAGGTCATTTTATTTCATTTGGGAAAAAAAGTCTGAAATTTCTCTTTTTAAAGAGACAAAAGAAAAATAGAAAATACCCATCTGCCCTTGGAAACTCCCATGGCTGAAACATATAAACTGAAAATAAATACATCTATTTGCTGACACAGAATGGGTGGCAATGTTCTCTTGCATGAAGGATATCTTCATTTAGAAAATACTGCCCTGGGAAATCTTAAGTTATTAAAGGAAGAATAGAGGAGGAATAGTGCAGAAAGCAAGGATAGGGAGCGGTGGGTAGGGCATTTGCCTTGCACATAATCAACCTTCTTTGATCCCTGGCACTATATATGGTCCCCTGGACCCTGCCAGGAGGAATCCCTGAGCACAGAGCCAGGAGTCAGACCTGTACACTGCTCAGAGTTTAACCCCCCCCCCCAAAAAAAAAACCAAACAAAAGAAATACATTTATGCTGAAAGGGTGAACGACTATTTTTAATAATCTTAAACTAGGAGCTGAAGCACGCTTGTCTTGCACACAGCCCACCCAGGTTAAATTTTAGCACCCCAAATGGTCCTCGTAACCCCACCCAAAGTCATCCGGAGCACAGAAACAGAAGAAAGTTCTGAGTACTGCAAGATGTGACCTCGTGGCGCTCCCCAACCCCACCCGTCCAAATAAAAGAAGGCCAGGGTAAGGAGAGGAGGGGCAAGAACTGCTTTTTCTGGGGTGGGGTGTTATTGTTGGAAATAGAAAGGCTTACTGGAAAGAAGGGGGAAACAGGGGGGAAGGAAAAGAAGCACCTCTGCCGGGGAGGAATTTAGTATAGGACTAAGTTCAAGAGCTGAAACTTATAAATATTCTCTTGCTTTGTACAACATATTATTGTACTTTGAGAGTACAATAATATAAATGGAAAGAAACTTGTGACAAGTACAATATCCTATACTCTTCTGTATTATGGGACAGGATGGTCTTGGATTGGGTAAGGCAGGTGGCTTAAACAAAACAACCAAAGATAGACCAAACATGATTGTCACTCAATGCCTCTTTTGCAAACCACAACACCCAAAGAGAGAGAGAGAACAGAGGGGAATGCCCTGCCACAGAGGCAGGGTGGGATGGGGGGTGGGGGTGGGGGTAGGAGGGATACTGGGATCCGTGGTGGTGGGAAATGGGCACTGGTGAAGGGACAGGTATTTGATCACTGTATAATTGAAACCCAAGCACAAAATTTGTAAGTCTACAACTGTACCTCATGGTGTCTCACTAATAAAAATTAAAAATAAAAGACTAATATGAGGCTGAGATGAAGTTCACAGTGAGCTGCATTTTTTCATAGGATACTAAGATGAAAATGACAAAGAAGTCATTATGCTAAATGAACAAGTCTACATATATTTATAATGATAATATCGAAACAATATTATCTCAGTTAATTCCATTATTCTAGTAATTTGTATTTAGACTGGGTTAATTAAGAAAGACAGAAAAACAGAATAGTTTTCAATGACTTGGAATTTTTCACATTCCCTGAAGGCTGAATGAAGTAGAATACACATAAAATAACATTGCAAAAATCTCTTGAACTTCTCTTGCTTTGTACAATAGACATTCATTATAGCAGGTCCTGTTAAATTTTTGCATTGTTTTTATATATTTAACTGGAAAAAATGTGTCCAATTGTAATCAATAGGAATAAAATATTTAGAGAAAAAAATATAAAATTTGATACATTTTAAATTAGATGTGAAAATTCACACGGTCACGGTCCTCCTGTTGTTCATCGATTTGCTCGAGCGGGCCCAGTAACGTCTCCATCTTGAGACTTGTTGTTACTGTGTTTGGCATATCGAATACGCCACCGGTAACTTGCCAGGCTCTGCTTTGCAGGCGAGATACTCTCAGTAGCTTGCCGGGCTCTCCGAGAGAAGCAGAGGAATCGAACTCGGGTTGGCCATATTGGCTGTGTGCAAGGCAAACGCCCTACCGCTGTGCTATCACTCCAGCCCAGATGTGAAAATAATGCTTTTTAAATTTAGCTTTACTGAGAAATGATATTTCCTAGGTGATAACTCTTAACTCATTTTTACTAAATCATGCTTACGCATAAATATATAATGGTCTTTTTCTTTCCTTCATAAAAGCCCTTTACAATATCTCGAAAGGCATCAGCAAGTCAGTGGAACAGTAGCATCCCACCGCCCCCCCGCCCCCAGCTCATGTGCATCCTCATAAACAATGACCTGGCATTCATACACAGAGAAAATGCTCTGTGAGAATTTTTGGATTGACTGTAAAACTCCAGTAATCTCCAAACCAAAGAAAGCCCTACTTGGTATAGGTCTGTGGGATGTAGTCGTGGTTAGAGTGTAAAGTAGTTCTGTTTCTCTAATTCCTAGGGTCCTGCTAACAATGACCTATAGCCAGCTCCACTTCCAAGAGACCATGGAGGAGTCCTGCCTATGAATATTCCCTTTTCTAGGTCCTTTTTACCTTGGGTTCAGCTAAAGTTCTGACTCAGTGCTGTGACCTGCTCCAGCCCTGTCTTACTGAATGTGGTATTAGTAACAGCCTGGATTCTGGATCTGGTGGGGGACCCTGGTAGATGGCCTGGGTTTACATCACATCCCCATAATCCTGGTCGTGACCCTGAAGCTGCCAGATGCTCTTTAACAGTTTGGCTCTGCTGTGATCTGAGGGGCAGACACTGCCCAGTACTAGGAGGAAACATGCCTATCTGTACTTTTGGAAATATATCCACTGACTTCAACCGAATTGCCATCTCTCTGGCTTGTGCCCTGATCTATCAGCCATGTCCATCCAGGGACCTGGAGAGAGCCAGCTATTAGCACAGCCAGTAACTTAGCTATTGATTTTAGACCTAACTGTGAATCTTCATGCAGCCTGTAACTTCTCCTCTACCATTATCCGAGGCACAGTCTTACATTTTCTGGGAAGCCCACTGAGGGATCTGGTGGGGGACTAGTTCATCCATGACTGTGGATCCACAAGCAGCCCTGTGTCACAGATGTAGTTCTGCTTTGTGATAGCAGTAGTCCTTTAGAGTCCAACACCCTACCAGAGATCAGCAAGGTGGCACTCAGAGATCTGGAAGGAGCCCCAATTATCCTTCATACATCTACTGACTTAATCGTGGATCCAGAAGTGAGCAGATGACCCATTTTAGTTTGTGATCTGACTCAGGGAGGCTGGACCCAGAAGAAACCAGGCATGTCTATGTCCTAGATACTATGGACCAGTGATTATCCATAGCTTCACTTAAGCCCAGATCAATTGTGATTCTGGAAGTGGTCAGGAACCAATAGGAGCTTATGCTGTTGATGGTGATATAAATTGGCATAAGAAATATGAAAAGCAGGATGGCAGTGCTAAAAATAATTACAAAGACAAATTTATAAGTTTTGTAACAAATACAATTTGTTACAAATTGTAACCAATAGTTATAATTCACTGACCTTTAAGGAGAAAAAACTTGAATGTGGGTTAAAAACAAAAACTGCAAAATAAAAATCTAGTAGCTAGAAAGTAAGAAAGATCCAAATATTATAATGTTACACACTTGAAGATTCAGAAGAAATCACTTAAAATTTTAGAAATTGAAATTTAAGAGGTTGATTTATTAGAAAAATGGTTAATGATAGGACTTTGCATTCTTTTTAATTAAAATGAAAATTATTTAATAGTACAAATAGGGAAAGTTACATGATTAAAGAGAAAAGGATAGCATGGTTGAGAAAGTCTAGAACATGATGGATCAGAGAGTATTTTGTGCAGTTCTTTGTAGCTTTTGAAAATTAAGTAGACATGAAAAAAGTGGATAGTAAATTCCTAAAGCTAATTTTTAAAGGTTTTTTTTGTAACTTTATTCAAAGTAATTTTGTTGCCTAGAGAAGATCAAAATTTTATGGTAACAGCTCATAAGGAAAGCATTACAGCAACATTCATTGCTCTTTCTTCAACATATGAGTGGGACTGAACCACTCATATTGAAGTAAAATTGAATTTCTCAGAAATTCCCAGTTATTATATATATTATATTATAATACAGAAATATCAAAATTTCTAAAGGAATCCCTTACCTCCAATTGCACATTCTGGGGTAAAGGAGATGTCATCAAGGGCAATAAAGATGTTCTCCTTTCCAGCCAAATCTGCTTCAAATGCCACTTTAAATGGACTGTTACTGGACAGAGGCACATATCCATACACCCAGCCATTTCTTTCGTTTCCAATCACTGACCAAACGAGGAAATTGAGTCCAGATTCCTCAATAGTATACACCTAATAACAGAAGAAACAGAGAAAAAAACAACTTGTTATGATCTGAACTTTAGAAATGCGTGGGCATCTAGTTTGCTTCTGCAAGAAAAGAATTGGCACTGTCACATTTTTCTACATGGATTCTATTTTTGACCCGTGAAAATTGTGGCTAACTGTGAGTTTAGAGGGAAACTATCCAAATTATAAAATAGAAACAAATGGAAAAAGAAAAGCAGAAAATTGCAGAATCACAGTAAGACTATACTATATGATTTTACTCACATGTGGAATATAAACTCACACTATAACAAGATGATTTCACTCACATGTGTAATATAAATAACTAAGTCAAAACCCAACACAACTTACTCAGAAACTTAGTGAAAACTCTGCTTGTGTCTAGAGGGAAAAAGGTTTGGTGGTGCAAAGAAAGGATAGAAGGAACTTTTTAATAGTAGGATGGCATAGGAACTTTGTGGTGGGTGTGGTAAGTCATATATGCAGATAGACATACAAAGATATTCTGCTGCAATATTATAGTGTTTAAAACCAATGATAAATCAATTAACCAAAAAAGAAAATGAGAGAGTTTATGGATGCTATACTTTCTTTGATTAATTATATTTTGTATCCATATTTCTGTATACCAAATTGAATATGATCAAAACTATAACAATTTATCTACCAAGCTGAGGAGATAAACTCAAGGTAAAGAACAAAGCTGAGGAGATAAGCTCAAGGTAAAGAACTTCAAATGTTTGACCAGGGTGGGTTCTAGAAAAAAGAGAACTCATGGTTAATAAATATGATGTTTACACACCATTTTGGAAATAAAACAGTTGTGCTAAAATATTTAATATTTTTTTAAAAAATAGAAAGAAATCACTGAATTGAGTTGCAATATTATTCAGAATATTTATTTCAGGGTCTCACCTGGTGGTGTTTAGGGTTTTAGATTAGGGCATGAGGTCTTGTGTGCAATTCATACGCTGCAGTGTTTTAAACCAGTTCCTGGCCCAATTCAGAACATTTACAGTCCCAAAACTAAACAGATTCAACACATAAGAATTGTAACAGAAAAAAGAAGTCATTTTCAAATCAACTATTGTGCCAAGTTCTAATAATATTCTAACAGTAAAAAAAAACAAACAAAATAAAAAATTTCACCTTCTAATGCCCTTCAATCTGTATTTAAACAAGGTTAAATATTTTTTCAATTTTCTTTTTTGCATACATATATAGAGAGAGAGGTAGATATATATATATATATATATATACATATATATGTTTACAAACTCAATAAAAACAATTTCCTATACATGGGTAAATTATAACCCTGAGAAAGAAAACATATAAGTAGCAAATTTCTATTTCAATACTGTATTTGTCCAATGACCACCCCTCATTAAAAATGTTTAAGTTGGGGTCTGAAGAGATAGTACTGCAGCTAAGATGCTTGCCTTGCATGATTCCAGCCCGAGTTTGACCCCTGGCATCCCACATGGTTCCCTGGGCACTTCCAGGAACAACTCCTGAGTGCAGAGACAGGAGCAACCCTTGAGCATTGACAGGTGTGAGCCTAAAAAATAGTCATTTTTTTAAAAAAAAAATCTCACTTCTATTTAGTGTCCAAATCTATAAAAGGCAAGATAGTGGGTGAGTAAATCAGGAAAAAGGGGTGGACGGCGATAAAAGGAAATCATAATTCTGGCAGTATACATGAAGTAGCATATACAGATAATGATAGGTGTCAACAAAGGCTATATACCTGAAACCCATAAACTTTATAAAAGAACATAAATTCAGTTTAAATTTATCTACAGATGATATATCCCATAAAATTTATCCAAAATTTACGAGAGAGAGAGAGAGAGAGAGAGAGCGAGAGAGAGAGAAGTGTCTGCCATAGAGACAGGATGTGGGGGATGGGGGAGACAGAGGGAAACTGAGGACATTGGTGGTGGGAAATGTACACTGGTGGAGGGATGGGTGTTGTAACATTGTATGACAGAAACCTGACCATGAACAACTTTCTAACAGTGTATCTCACACTGATGCAATTAAGAAAAAAATTCTCACTCAAAGAGTGGACAGTATAACTCATCTTGCTCTTGTTATACTGACATCCCAGAAACACCATCAAGAGTCAAAACTTAAGACGCAGATTTTAAGCATGTGCCAATGTTCATGGCTATTAAAAGTTTAAGGTCAAATTAGATGCATTAAAATGCATCAAAATAACCAGGAATTGAAAAAAATTAGAAAAACTTCCCCAAAGTTTGAAAACACAAAAAGGGATATTTATTGTGAACATTGGGGAAAAGAAGACAGAGCAGGGACCAAAATTGTCCTTGATATTGATTCCACTAAATGAAATAAGTCAATAGGAAAGAAATTTGGGATAGTTGATTGTTTCCAGTCACATATATAAGCAAACACTCATTAAAAGACTCTTCAGTTCCAGAATTTGGTGAACATCTTGTTCTCAAATTCATGAGCATTTTCCCCATTAAGAAAGTAAACAAATAAGAGGCATAAAGTTTCTTATGTAACATATACAAAATAACTCTACAAAATTAAATTTAATTAAACTCAAGCTCTTTCTTTAACATAAATCCTGGTTTTTATCACAAAGGTTCACAATGGAATGAATGAGTTTAATAAATTAAAAAATGTAAAGAGGACCTGTCTGTTGGCTACACATTGCTGGGCTTAGCAGCACCTCACCATCCCTGAACATCTGGCATGAACTGGTCACTAATGCTGGGAATAGTTTGTAGGAAGCATCACCACCTAGATAAAAAGGAATGCCTTTACTGAATTTATTACTCTTTTTCTTGGCAAGATCAACAAATGAAAACCAATTACAAAACCCTATACACATATATTTTCTTATTATCTGTTACTATTTTTTTATTTCTCTTCCTTTTAATCTCTGCTTTGATCCAAATTTGAATGTGAAACAAGTGTATGTATATGTGTGTGTGTGTGTGTGTGTGTGTGTGTGTGAGTTTGTGCACATATTTGTGTGTGTGGCATAAGGAATGGAATCCAGGGCCTTTTATCACCAAGTCACATAACCAGGCCACTAGTATTATTATTTGTTTGGTTGTTTGTTTGGGGGTCATACTTGATGGTGCTCAGGGCTCATTTCTGGCTCTGGGCTTGAGACTTATTCCTAGCAAGGTTTAGGGGATCATATGAGTTGCCAGATATAGAAAACAGATTGGTTGAGTACAAGACAAGCACCCTACTGGTTTTACTTTCTCTTTAACCCAGTCTTCTAGGTCTTAATCAGCCTTCACACTCTTCAAATTCCTTTTACTTTTATTTCCTTTTTTCTCTACTTCTCAAAACACCACTATAGCATTCTGTGCACATTCTTCAGCCCCTACTTCCCTCATTAACAATTAGCTTTTCAATAGATACCAACCTATTCTATCCCATTACTTCACCCTATATACAGACTAAAATATGGACAACTTTACTAAAATATTAATTCCTATGAAATGTTTTGAAAAGTTTGACATGTTTTTAGATACCACCTGTGTACTAAATTGAGCAAGTGCATGTAAGGAAAAGTGTTTCTTTAGCCACAATGGTCAACAGAAAGACCAGAAGGATCATTTAAGAGCTCCTTTCATAGCAGAGTTTTCTTCATGGTCAGTGAGAAATCCAATAAAAGCTAAATTTATATCATGCATTTTCCCTTCAGTAGAAATAATATTTTGAGTTTGCCATTAATCTTGGAAAAAATTAATTAAAAAACTTTTGAACACCCAATATTTTGAAAAAGTGAGATGATTAATATTCTCAAAAATAATTAATTCTAAGTGAATTTGTTTCCAATTTTATGTTTTATTACACCAATTTTACTGAAAATCAAATTATGTTGCAATAACTTACTATTTAAAATAGCTTTTAAATATCAACTATTGAATGTATAATTTGATGACTCCTATTTTTATATTCTACATTTTGCTAGGATATATGTGGCCATTAGCAGAATAATAGATAATACCACACACCATAAATTATAACCTTTACCTTTATTTTCATGATAAAAACAACATAGATTCAAGAAACATAAATATATAGTAACATTTAATATAATAAATAAGGCTATATAATATCTATAGAGGAAATTATAATCAAAGAAACTTATGCCATATGGCACAAGAAATAAAACAAGTTGGTCACTTCATTTAAATGCAAATAATTATCCAAGTAAATTTATGTTAAGATTTTTGCAGAAACAACTCTAATATTTATAAGAATAAACATTCCTTTGGAGGATATCTCTCAAGAGATCTAGAGAGGTAAAAGAAAGTTTTAAAAAGTCTAAATACAGTCACTATTTCCAGAATATCTGAATATCTAAAGTATTAAGGAAACAAATGGAAAGAAATTAATCAGCAGGTTGTTTGGAAGGTTTTTTTTACTGAGATGATTTCTGGGTGACAGAAACACTAACAAGTCATAGGGGCTCATTAGAATCTCTAAATAGATTCCACAGGACATCACAAACACTACATCCATTTAATTGTGTATTAATTCAATAATCTGAGAGAGCAAAATGCACCCTTGAGAGAATCCCTGGACTTTACTTGTGTGAAAATTGACTTGTACAGACTTTAAATTCATATCCCAAGATCATAGCCCACCATAAAAACAAATTTAAAAAGAAGTATAATTGAGGGGCTCGAGAAAGAGAGAGAGAGTACAGTAGGCAGAGTGCTTGTCTTGCACATAAGGGACTTGAATTCCAACTCCAGCATTCCAAATAGTCCCCCAAGAACCATCAAGAGTAATTCCTGAGTGCAATCAAGATGAATCCCTGAGCATTACCAAGTGTGGCTGAAAATTTAAAGGAGAAAAAAAAACGAAGTAAAATAGAGATATTAAGACTTAATAAAGTGGAAATACATAAACACTAAAGGCTTTCAAAAGATTTGGGGGGGGGGGTTAGGGCTCAGGATTTACTCTTGGTTCTGTGCTTAGGGAGGACTATGGCTGTCTTG